GTACGTTGGTACCTACGTAAGTTACTGCGCAGCCCGCAGCCCGCAGCCCGCAGCAGCGGTCTAGGTACAGGTAAGTACACTACCCCATCTTCCCCATGGTTTGGGCTGTCCGCGTGACCAGCATGACTGCATGAAGCGTATGTATGTCTGCATAACAGTCGGCATGTCTGCATGATGGCATGATGCGGAGCAGCAAAGGGGACTTCTAGAACGACAAGATATCCGAGAAAGACAAGAGAGGCGAGGAATGCCTGAAATGTCGACGACGACAGAAAGTGGAGACAGCCGTGGACAATGCTTCGAGATCCACATTCGCTACCGGTTTCCTGTACTGGCACTTTGGGTAGCTATCTGCCTGACTCTGCGGTTGCCAAAGTTCAAAACTGTGGTCTGGTGCCGGATTCTGCACAGATGCTGGGGGTTTTTAGTTGCTTTTTTGTGCGTGCGACTCGACTCCGCATATCTAACACCGGCACCGATAAGTTCGCTGGCTAGACGGCCGGCCGGTTGGCTAGCCTGAAACGGGGTTCACGGGCTATCTACATACTTCTTCCTCTTTGTTACTGTCATTGCTGTTTGTTGGTGTTTGTTCAATCTCCGAGCCCACCTCCCCCCATCTACACACCGTATCTATCTTTTTCCGTGGTCTGACTATCGTTCTCTTCCCCTCATCTCATCTCCGGCGTTAGTGCTCCCCATCACGAACTATTGAAAATGTCTTGTCATCTTTCCGTCTTGCTTCATGTATAGTGGTTGTTGTCTAGTTTAGTAAGATCCCGCGTTGTAATTTCCTGTTTCGATCACGTTTCCAAACATGCAATTCCAACTATACACTACACTCCCGTCGCCGACCCGTGATTGCGCTTGTGATGGTGTTGAGCTACAGCTATATCTACATCAATCAAACGATATCCATTTCCCTCCCGCTCCATCCCAGCGTATTGGTCCAATTCTCCTGCCGCGTTGTTTTGCGAGCGAGCCGTTATGCTTGAAGTAAGCAACAACGAGTTGTCCATTGATTGATGCCATGACGCTAGACTGTGTTTGATGACTCTGCTCTCATGCCGTCATTTGCATTACGCCGCATCACACCCCCCTCACAAAATATCCCTATGCGCATTAGCATGAAAAGAAGTGGGCACGGTGGAGGCATGCGTTGATGCGGTTGATATTGTCTAGGTGAAACGAAACGAACTATGCTAAGAAACGGCTTAGGCTACTAATTATACAATGCAGTATCGAGTTTGTCGCATACAGATTATGGCGCGGCTTGGGAAGGAAGCTTGGACCGCATTTGGTTTGCCACTGAACCAGGAAGGAAAGGGAAAGACAGGTAACGGTGTTTTGGAGGTTAGTGTGGGTGGAGACATGGGATTGGGATGTGTGGCGTTCGTGTGGCGTAATTTGCGTTTTGTTTGATCGTCGCATGTGGCGTGGGTAGGTGGGTGGAGCTTGGTTGCGAGGGTGATGGTGTTGTCGGAGATGAGGTGAGGAGCGTTTGTGCATGGGAGAAGCGACGTTTGTTGGCGCTTGTGGGTTGAGATGGGAAGGTGGAGACGGGGTCATGTGATGGTGTGAGAGAAAAGCAGAGTAGTTCCCTGTACAGAACACATGGCGCGACGCAACGACGCTGCTGCGATGTTGGCTAGGTCATTACTGCGATCTGTTCGCTTCTTCATCGGCGCAAAGTAGCAATATCGTTAACCCTTGCATTTTTACATCTCGCATTCATTCTACCATCGCTAAATTCCGACCGCCACGCGTCGCAGCCTCATCTTTTCTCTTCCTTCCTCTCCTCGGCCCACCCGTAACATGTCGTGACCATGACACACATTCTGGTGTCCGTCACCGACATCGCTCGTTTGTACCATCGCGTGATGCGTGCACAACACCCGACAACTCGGTGCTTACGCGCGTCGTGGCCCCGCGCCTCTACCTAGCACGACATCATGATTACCCAGTCGGAGCTTTTTGTACGGTACTACGTAGCCTGCATGCCTTAGCTAGCGTAGGTATTCCTACTCATGTCTTGGCTGGTATACAGAGTTTCTTGGCGGAGTTGTGATGTTTGGTTCTGAGCCTCTTGACTGGAGATCTGCACTTGAGGCACGCGTGTGCAGACTACGTGCGAGTGAGGAGGACCTACGTCATTGTTGATCGGTGTGTACTCAGTGTAGGTTTGATTACGCGCTCGAGCGTGGAGAAAGTTTATTTGCGATCGTCGG